AGAGCCCTGGTACTTCACAGACCCCATGTGGAGAGACCTTGGATCCTATTGTTGCCCTTCTCTGCACATTTTCCAGCTCTGCTGTATCCTTGGAATAGGAGGACTAGAAGTGCATGTAGACTGGGACTGGCTAGGGAATAGTGACACCTCTGATTTCATCTGTCCTCTTTCCTGGCTCTTCCTATCAGCTTCACAGGGAGTCTTTGAGGTTCTGACTTCTGCTGAGTGCTGAGGGGACAGTTTTACAGACTGTCAGAGCTTCCAGTCTCAGAACTCATCACTATAAACAAGAACCTGGGCTTGGTTTCCCCATGTGTGTCACTCCCCTAACACTGACTTTTGTCTCATTTTATTGTCAGCTTGCTCAGCCTCTCAAAGTCCTCCTGCATCCTTAGCATGCGTCCTCAATTTCCAGAATAATTCAATATTATTGCAGATTTTGCCATTGACCTCATCTTGTCAAAAGATCTACGAGTGGAAATGCAGGGACTTCTGCTGGATCACCCCCAGGGGCCTGCTGGCTTTTTCCAAGAAAGTCACTAGCTATGGAAAAGAAATTCACTGCAAGAGAGCTGTGTTGACTCTTCCCCAATATGTCATATTTATCCATCTGTTCCCTAACAATGCCAGTTTCCTCCTCCGTATGCCAATTTTTGTTCATTTGCAGAGAACAGATGTGTCATTTATCAGTCTGGGACTCCCTGGCTGCCTCCCAGGAAGCATTTCTGGTGTCACAGTTGCCACCTTCCAGTCCTCATGTCCCCTGCTGTACCCAAACCCCAGAGGTGGTTCGGCTGTCACCCAGCAGATGTGACATCCTCTGTGCTGCACAATGGGGTGTATGGGGGTTGCTCCCGGGGAGGAAAGGAGTAGGCACACAGGCATTCCAAAGTTCCTGCAAATAGCTTTTATTTGGAGCTGTGGAAGAAGTACCTAGAGATACAAGGAGCTGCAGGCTTCTCTGCAAGCCAGGGTCGATGCTGGCATCAGGGGAAAGAGTCGACCTAGCACCTGGCTCAAGTGACACGTTGGCAAGTGTCAGATTCGGCCCCCACATTTCCTGGGGGTGAGTCACCCGGGAGTGTGCGGGGGCAGAGACCTTCTCCTCTGAGTCACCGGAAGCTGCTGCCTGGGGGACGCTGGGCTGTGTCCGCACCACCCAAGGTTACACTCGAGGGGAAGGTATACCATGAAGAAGTGGCATGATCTCTCCTCAGCTCAGGGAAGGTGCTATGCACTGTTCTTGGCCCAGCTGCCAAATAGGGCTTTTGTCCCCAGCTGGGAGTGAGCACCAGGAGCATTTAGGGCAGCTGAAGCAGCTCCTCAGGCCCGGGAGGATGGATGAGGGCTGAGGATGCACACAGCTCTCTGCTGGGCCGGCAGGAGCCCAGAGGACATTGCGTGGCTTTTTCTTCCTGGTGTGTGCTCTGACTTGTCTGGATTTACACAGGCAAGCAGCTCCTTTGGTAAAATGAAGGGTGATGCTGTGAGCACCAGCCTGGAGATCTCAGCAAAGAGCTCCTGGACTCTTCAGAGAAGGAGAAGAGGGTGGGAGCAGATATTCCAGTGCAGAGGACCAGCTCTGCATCCTTGTACACAACTACATAAAGCTCTTCTGCCTCCCCTATTCCCATGGTCCCTCCGAGTGAACCACAAATCACTTCTGCACAGCCATGGGTTGTTCTCTTCCTATCTGAGGACTGTGTGCAAATGGCTTCACAGCCGTCCTTCCTTCTTTCCTGGGGTCTCCATGGGCTTTGAGCAGTGCCAGCAGCAGGCAGCCCCCAAGGCTGTGCATCCTACCTGGAGATGCTTCCCACTGGAGCAGCATGAGAGAGAAGCTAAAATGTGGAGTCTGGCACACAAGTGGTGCAGCGTGTGCTCCCTCATCCTCTCCCATCTACCAGTAACACCCCACGTCCCCTGCCAATTCCTACACCCGCAACACTCTCTGACAGCCATCTGTCATGGTGAGCTGCAGTGACTCGCAGGTGGAGTGGGATCACAGTCACCATTATGGTATCGGGGTCAGTCTCTACAGTGCAGTCAAACCTGGGTCCCAGTGTGCCTAAGATATGGACCGTGTAAACAGTTAGGATTGGAGCAGCACCAGCTGTAGAACGAGATGCAGATAGATTCTGGCTTCAGCGGTGGGAATGTAGGAATCTGCCACTGCTCCTCCAAACCTGAAGTGAACCATTGTGAACAGAACAATGTCACTAGCCCATGACTGCAGAAAAGAATATGAGCAGCCTGTGGCTGTGCCAAGGTCATTTGGTCTCCTTCTGGGGGCCCCTTAAAGCTCCCCAAGCACAAAAGAATCTCTCAAGGGGCCTCTCACCTCGGCTGTGCTCTCTTCACCTGCTGCCCGTGTTGCTGCCCAGGTGGATGGCCAAGGGGAAGCCAATATCCAGGGGAAGCTCAAATCTGAGGGCTCAGGTGAGTCCAGGGACTTTGATGCCTCTCCAAGCTCTGCTGAAGCCTGAGGTGAGAAGGTGATACCTCAGAGGCACAGATCAGAATCACAGATCACAGGGCTACATTGGGCTAATCTGGAAGAGAAACAGGCCCAACAAATGGTGAGGAAGTGCCGGGGTCCTACATGAGAGCGGACCACAGACCTTTGTCAAATCCCAGCATAGCTGCCTCTCCAAGGGGGGAGCAATGTGAGGGATGTGCCAGGACTGGATGAGAAGGAAGAATCTCTGCAATTCCTCTAATATGGTATTAGTATTTAAATTTGATATTAGTATTTTAAAAAATACAAACACCACCACAAGCTACATCCCTCCTCGGTCCCCTCTCTGGAGACACTGAGTGTGTTTTCCAGGCCTGAGGATTTAACAAGAGCCATCTCCTACAGCTGTTGCTGAACATCCTCCTTGGTTACTGATAGAGGGTGGAAGTGCTTTCAATCTCAAGTGCCATTAGCCCTGGTTCCTTCCAAATGCCAGACAAGCAAATTTATTGAGAATCTCTGTCTTTTCTGCATTTTAATAAGTCTCTTCATCACCATCTGCCGAGAGCAAGGTCTGCTGCGAGACTGCAGACACTGCCTTGGTGATCACTTCATTCCTTACAGATGCTTTTTCTCCTGATGCCTTTTGCATCTTGCAATCCCTATGCTTTGAAATTTCCAGTGCTGTTTTCTGGGTTTCATGGCTGTCTTCTCCCTGTGGAGGAAGCTCCTTTGGTGTCCTGTTGGATTTGGCAAATCTGGATGGATTTCTCAAGCAGGAGTGTGCTCAATGATTCAGCAAATCTGGGACTCAGTGGGCTCCCTGGGCACATGTTGGGCATGTACTGTGCCAGGCTGGCACAGGAAGCGCAGTTCCTTGGCAGCCCCACCCTCACTCTCCCTTCTGCACACGACTGGTAGGAAACATGTCACCATGAGAAACTTCTCTCCCCAGCTAGACACTCTGACAGCAACATCCCAGCATCTGTCCTCACACTGTGCAGGACCATGGCTAATGGTGTGAGAACATCCAGGAACACACTGTGGCATCTCTCCCTGCCCACTGGATGCCTCTGCACAGCTTCACAGCTTGCAGTGGGACCTCTGTGGAGGTCTCGCTCTTGGAGCATCCTGTCTCTGGCCCTTTTCTTTGTTCATGGCCTTCAGGGGATTCAGTCTGTGAGCCTGGAAGCAGTTTTGGGTGATGCTGTGTATTTAGGAAGGGATGTGGAGGGTTTGGGGGCTAGGTCTGGATACAGGGCTGCTGGGGCATGGGAGAGCATGGGAACCCAGTCTCGGTGGTCGGTGAGCCGAGAAGGTTGCTGGCTGGGGATGGCTATGCGTCCAGGAACAGTCAGAATGTGTGTTAGCATGCTTTTTGTTGCTACAATGGCCTCGGGCTCTGCTGCCATGCTCCAACACACTGCTCCCAGTGCCACGTTCCCACTGCATCCCAGGGGATGTCCTCCAGCCTGTGTACTGGGGATCAGCCCTGCATGCTGGCTCCAATGTCTCTGCACATCCAGCTTGAAGTCAGCATTCTTCCCAAGCACTTCCCTGCTTTGTACTTGCTCACCCCCTCCCGCAGTGTTTCTTGCGGCGGTCCACAGCGCCAGCCTTGTGTTTCAGTGTCTCCCTGGAGTGAACTGCTCCGGGGGTCCTGCACGGGGCTGCTCCCACCAAACACCTCCCAGGTAGCGGGCTTCCACCGAGGAGTTAGACTGGAGCCCTGGAGGCTCCTTCCAGCTCAGGGCATTCTGTGACCCCATGAGGCACCCTTTACCGCCCTACCTCGCTGGCTGCCTCCCCGGTGGCCTTTCCCCTGGTGCCGAAGGACGCTCCGGCGGGCTAGGGGCAGTGCTGGGGCTGGATCGGGCCCAAGGCCGCCGGCAGCCCACAGGCGCTCGAGCGCGGGAGGCGGACCGGCGCGCCCGGGGCGCGGCGGAAGGCGGCGGGGAACGGGGCGGGCCCCGAGGGTGGGCGTGCCCCTGGGGAGGCGGGCCGGGGAGGCCGGGCCGCGCTCAGGGCCGCGGCGCGCTGTGCCGGGGGAAGGGGGCGCGGGGCCGCCGCGCGGGCGGGGCGGGGGAGGCCCCGCACCCGGCGCTCCGGCAGGTGGCACTGGCCGCCTCCCCCGCGCCCCCCCGAGCCCCGCCGCCGCGCTCAGTCTGACGGCGCCGATGCTGCTGAGCGGAGCGGCCGGCTCGGAGCGCGGTGGCTGCAGCGGCGGGGCGGGGACCGGCGGGGCCCCGCAGTGCGTGGGCACCATGGCCCGCTGGCTGCGCGAACACCTGGGCTTCCGGAGTGCCCGGCCTGCGCCACCCGCGCCGCCCAAGCCTGACTACCGCGCTGGGCCGCCGCCTCAGCCGCCCCTGCCGCCCGGGGGCGCGGCCGAGCCTCTGGCCGCCGCCCAGCCCGACATCGTGGCGGCCTACCGGCTGCAGAAGGAGCGCGACTTCGAGGACCCCTATAGCGGCCCGCCGCCCGCCGCCGCCCCCGACGGGGCCCGCTACGTCTCGCCCAAGCACCGGCTCATCAAGGTGGAGGCGGTGGAAAAGGTACCTGCCAGCCCCCCGGTGCCGGTCCCCCCCATCTCGCCCCCGGCCGGCCCTGAACCACCCGACGAGCCGCCGCAGGAGGTGAGTGACCGGACACGGGGCCTCGGTGCTCTCTTCGCGGTATCCCGCCACTTGCGATGCCCCGAGTGACCGCGCCGGACTCTCGGCCCCTGCCCTGAGGAGCAAGACCAGGACCCTAGGAGCAGGTGGAGCCTGAGCGCCTCAGTCACGGAGATGCCCTCGGTGGTCCCGCCAGCCTATTGGTAGCCACAGTAAGGAGCAGGGTTAGGATCCTCGAGCACCGAGGGGGGGCCACGGCCAGGCTCCACGGGGCTTCCGTGTCGCGTCCCCCATGCCCCGGTAGCACTGGCATGCCGGGCACACGTCAAGCAGGAACGGCTTTTCCTCCGGCTCCCGCGGGAGAGGCAGGTATGATCTCCAGCGGGAATCGCGCTCGCAGAGGAGCACAGGACCATCTGCGATGCCCTCCGACGCTGGGGCTGGTGACCCTGGGCCTTCCATCTCTCCGTGCCTGGCGGATCTCCCTCTGCCCGCTTGCCCGGGGTGCCTGTGCCAACGGCGGCGGCCGGACCCCCAGAGATGCCGTGCTGCTTTGTCAGGGAGCCTCAGCGCCTCTTTGTCTGCCGCACCCCCCCATCCCCCCCCCCCTATCCCGCGGCTTCTCCATGGTTGAGAGGACAGCCTGGAGCTGCCGGTGCTGGCAAGGAGGCGAGAAACATTCCCGGTAAGAGGCAGAAGCTGGGCAGAAGCTACCTATGGGGAAACTGGTTCTGAGTGGCACAGAGACCTGGTGGAGGATAAGCCCAACCGGGGCTGCGGCTGTTGGTGCCAGGCTTCGTCTTGGAGGAGAGGCTGATGCGGGGACTGCGCAAATAAAGGCAGGAGGGGGTAATTAGTGCCCGCTAGCGCTGCCGCCTGCAAGACGGGGCTTGTCAGGCGAACTCGACGGGATTGCAGGTCTGGCTGGTGGAGGGAATCGTGGATCCAGTCAGTGATGCCATCCATGGTCCTGGCACTGCCAGGCGGCACAATGAAATGAGTACCGGGAAGAATCTGCTAGAGAATATTTTAAGCAGATAGAAAAACTTGTTGCTGGTGGATCTTGGGAACTTGCCTGTACTGACTAATTGCTTTTGGGAACTTTCTGGAGTGGCTCAGCAGAGCTCTCCATTTGAGCTGGGTAAACTGACTGCTGCAGGCAGCAGAGGGGGATGAGGAGGGTGGCACTGGTAGTAGGGACCAGAGGTGCCACCATGGTGCTGTAGTTTGCTGAGGCAGTCTTGGATGGTTTCTCCTCTGGAACATGTGTTGTAGGATCAGAGCAGGAGCATGTGGACTCAGGCTGTGATGTGCAAAGGGCTGAGCCAGAGCTGTGGGAAGCAGGGACTGCCGGCAGTACAGCCAGGCTGTTTGGGGATCCAAACTGGATTTGGCTGGGGAGAATCTGAGAAGTTTAGAGAAAAGCTGGAATCTGGGATACATTCTGGGAAACTATGCTAATCACCCTAGGCTGATGAAGACCCTTCATTTTTCCAAGATTGGTGGTGATTAGATTACTGATAGTCTTCTACATGCCACTGTAGGGAGGAGGCTTCTAATTCTTTACGGGTCTGGTATGTGATGGATACACAGCTCCAGAGCCTGGGTGAAACCGAAGTAAAAGTGGAAATATTTGATAGTGCTTGGAGCTGTCCATTAATACAGTTTTCCTGGAGGAGCCAGGGAGCATCCACCATATGGAGCAACTCTGTTGGGCTGAAAAGCCCGTTGCAGCTCTCATCTACTGGGCTGAGCAGTGGGAGGGTTCCCCAACTGCTCCAACATCATGGTGGCTCTTCCTGGAGGTGGTACAGGAGGATGGAAGTGCCTGCTGGAGGGTTGCTTCTGCTTGTGACCCTTGCTCTGGTGATGTCAAGCTGTCCTGGAACAGGGCAGGGATACTGGAGCTGGGCTGGAGCCTCTGCTGAGATGATTGTGCTCACAGACTTAGGAAGAGGGTCTGCGCACTGTTCCCTACGTGGTGCAGGGACTGAGACTGCAGACCCCTTAGGTTGTGGTGATGCTGGAGTTTAAAGGAGAAGTATAGTTCTACGTATAGACAAAGCTGTGAGAGCAGAGAGGGTTTTTGTTAATGATTGATGGGGAAAATCACTCTAATGAAATATGCAGCCCTTCCAAGTGGGGGTGATTAGGATGGAGAGAAGTGGGAAGAGCAGTCAGTGGTTCCTGATTGTGTGGTTTGGTTGAGACCATGCGGTTTGTTGTGGCTGTGGGCTATGTTCCCTGGGCACCCCATGCCTGCTGTAGCTGTCATGCCTGTTCTGAAGAATGGAACGGGCAGGAACGTCTTGGCACAGGAATCCTTCCTGTCTGGGCCACACGATGCTTTGCTGCTGTAGCATGAGCCGTCACATCTCTGTGCCTTCTGTGGGTTCTGCAGCATCCTGTTGGGATGCATTAGAGCGAGCTCTGCAGTGGCTTGTGCTGATTTCCAAACTCAGCTGGAGATGATGTGGACAGCACAGGTCCTCCTCAGTCTGTTTGGTCTGCCAGGCCTTTCCCCACAGCAGTGGACAATGGACTGGCCCTGTGTGGTTGACCTGAGCCAGGTGGATACTCTGGAGATGTCTTCCTGCTGCATTTGGATTAGGCACAAGAAGCTATGCTAGTGGGATGCAGTGGGGAGAGACGTGATGAGGGACCTTCTGCTGCCTGCATCCAGGGCATGCTTGGGGATGCCTGCCTGAGGACATCTTTGTCCTGTGCCCACCGAGACCAGTCACTGCTGTCCTTGTTGGGAGTGCAGGGTCAGTGCCGCAGGGTGTGGGAATGGCCAGTCAGGAAGCTCTTGGGTGTGTGTCTTTCCTGTGAAAGCCTCCCTGAACTGAGTCATCTTATGTGATGCTGATGCTGTGCTGTCCCATGTGCCCTCCTCCTGTGCCACGAGTGCAGCCCTAGGCTCCCTGCCTGGTCCAGCCATTCCCTGTGGGCTATGGACCAAACCCTTCTTGGAGGGTCAGTGCTGTGTTTGCTTTTGGGTTTAGCTTCAGTGTCTGCTAAAAGCCAAGCTGCCAGATGTGTAAAACTGGAGGAATTTTGCACCTGACAGAGTTTGCTCAATTTAACCAATCGGCTGAGGAGAACCCAAATGCGCTTTATCTCCAGGGTGGGAAACTCGTTTTTCAGATGGAGGATCTCCCCAGGAATCCTCTGCAAGCCTCTGTATAGTGGAACATCTTGTTGTGGCAGAAGGTGATGGAAGGTAGAATGTTTCTCGCCAAGATGGGACAAAGAACCCCAGCTCTACCCTGGGATTTTGGTGTCTGAACTGTGAATGCTCTTGAAGAGCTGTAATCTGTGACCTTCACTGGTTGGCAGCATAAAAGCTGTTTGACTGCAAGAACCCAGTGATAATTTGGTTCTTTGCATTAATTTTGTTTTGATTTTCTTCTTTTTCCCCTTATTGTTGGCATGTATAATAGAGCGAGACCAGCTTCAGTGCTGCCCCAGGGATCTGGATGTGTATTGCTGTGGCAGATAAACACGTGAAAAACACTTGTGCTCAAGCAGGATATGTTTCCAGGTGCCGGTGGTGCTTGGCTGCTCCCCAAAGGACTGGTCTGCACCAAGAGCTGCCCTGGGATGGTGCCCTGGATGCCTTTGCACTCAAAATATTTCAGAGCTAGCAAAGCTTGTGCTATGTATAAGCAGGTAATGCCTCCACAGTCGTATGGTGGGATTGGCAGGCAGTGAGCAGCTCCCTCAGCAACATTGAACATGAGTCAAGCATGGAAATGCGTGGCCTTTGACCAAAGGGAGAGAGGGGCTTAGGGCACCCCTAAGGAGCTGCCCTGCCAGCGGCTGTGGCCCCCTCTCATTCTTGGGCGCAGCTGTTTGCCCTGTGGCTGTTGCTGAGAGCCCTGCATGGCTCATAAAGTCCAGTACTCAGACTAGGAAATGTCAAGAGATGGAGTTTCCTGGGCAACATAATACAGCCCCATATGCAAGGGCATTAGGATCTGCCCAGTAATTGCATGATCCCTGCTGTTTGCCCCATTCTTGGCACTGGCTGGAGCCTGCAACCCCTCAGTCTTGGGGATTGAGGTACCATTCTCGTGGGCTTGCTTGTACATCCCGAGGTTGTCATGCTCCTGGAGGCAGTAATTGCCTTCCCACCTTTTCTGTGGCTCTCTGCTGTATTATCTAACCATTTAAAAAACAAATGGATTTATGTTCTCATCACCCTACAGTTAGGCGACCTTGCTCCTATGAAGTGGCATCCTTGAGGCAGTGGAGATGCAAACCAGTGTAGCAAATTCCCCCCAAACCCAAGGAGCTTCCTTCTAATCAGAGCCGCTTGCTCTGGGTCCAAGCTGAACCCAGCAAACCTTCAACCTCTGCCAACAGAGTCCATCTAATCTCTGCTGAGTTCCTGTGTGAACTTCTGCAGGCAAAATACTCAGGGGTCTTGAGAGACCTGTTAGGATTCTCTGCTTTCTAGACCTGGAAGCATCTGTGTGGGGGGCCACTCTGTGGGCCTGCTGGACGTCATGTGTTCCTCCCTGGGAACCCAGACTTAAACACGGGGAAATACATTTGGAAATAAGGTTGGGCTTGATGACCTTGGAGGTCTTTGCCAGATTTAATGATTCTGTGACAGTGACCACTGCATGCAGGGATGCCTCTTGGGCCGGTCTGAAACTGCTATGTGTGTATGGCGCAGAGGGAGGGTCCAGGACTGGAACTAGCAGCAAGATAGGTCTGTGCCTGTCTAAGAAATGTGGTTCATGGCAGGCTTGAATGTGGTCAGGTTGGGCTTTGGGCCTGAGGAACAGACAACTAACCCCAGGAGGGTCAGCAAACTGCATTTCACAGCTCCCCAGCATGCTTGGAACCATGAGAGCTCTGCTAAAAGTTAACATAGGACATGATGCTGGCCATTCACCCACCTTGGCCATTGAGCTAGTGCATTTGTATGTGTAGGGACACTGCTGGCATGCCCATGCCTCCATTGTCTTGAGCCCATGTGTGAAGATGCTGTTGCTGTCATAGGGCTGTGCTCTGCAGGTGTTGAGTTGCAGCAAGAGCCTCTGCAGCTTTCAAGGCATGGGAGAGGCCATGGAATCTCCTGGCTGTTTGGAGCAGCTTCACTGAGATCTCGCAGGCAGCAGGTAGGAAACAGGTCCTGGTTGACCAAGCCACCGTAAAAGTCACCAGCGACTTGCGTTTCCCCTGGGGAATTTCGCTCTGGTGGTGGCAAGCAAAGGGCTGCAAACCCCTGGGCTCAGCACTGCTCCTTCGTGTCCCCAGTGCCTGATGGGGCCTCAGTGATACCATGTCACCCCTTGGATGATAGAGGTGAGAGCAGATTGCCTGTCTCCCACTGCAAAGCTGGGGGCTGGCTACTCCTGCAGCCCTGTCCTAGCTTACTGCCCCCTGCCTGGGATGGTGCCAGTACTCTGCCACTGTCTGTCTTCTGCTGCCTTGCCGAGGGGTGAGAACGTCTGCAGCTCCCATGTCTGAACCCTGTTCTACTCCTATGGAGCAGCTGGGATGTGGTCTGGAGATGATCAACAACTTGCTCATGCCCAGGCATGGAGTGATCAGGCTTGGAGAGCTGACTCGGTTCCCCATGCATCGGCTGCCCATGGAGCTGGGACATTTAGGGAGGAGGTGGTGAGCCGGGTGTGGAGAGCCATGTGCCTCATATAGCTCACAGGGATGCCAAGTCTTGGGACTGTGTGGAGATGTTTACAGTTCCAGTTCCTGTTCTCTTTTCCTGCTGGGTTTTCTGTCACAGGCCATTGTTGGGCATTTTACACAGAAAGGAGGGAGAAATCTTTTGTTTTAAGGTGATTGTTTGAGCTGCAGAGGAATGTGTGAGCAGATGTGGTCTCTGTGGCTGGCCAGGAGTAGGGGCAGCATAGTGGTGAGGATGGAGCCTGTCACCAGATGGGGTTAGGCAGCTGCCACACCATGCTTGGGACATTTTGTCTTTGCTGTGGGACATTGCATAGCCCATTTTGTGGTAGCAAATGCCCCCAAGCTGTGGGTTTGCGTCCTGGTAAGTGACCAGACCCTGCTAAAGTGCTTGGGTACACTTAGTTGCTGATGGAAATATTGCCTGGCCCCACTTTGGGAGCAGGCTTTGTGGCTGGAGATGGGATGAACGGCTCCAAGCTTCTTGGCGACTGCAGTGTCATGTGATAGGGTGCTCTGACTGGGAAGCTGCTGAGATACTAGAGCGGGCATGTGGTTCCAGTGCTGGAGGGGATTGAGCTCTGGGGCACGGCCCATATCCTACTGCAGGATCCTCTCCTTTTCACTAATAAGTGCAAATCGCAGGAATTTAGTGCTGACCCTGTGACATGGCACTTGAGAAGCTCCTGGTTCTGCTTCCTGGAGGAAGGTTCTATCTCGTTTTACTTGACTTAGGATGTGTCTGGAGGTGCTGTGGAGGCCTGGGAAGGAGTGGAGAGGAAGCCGTAGGCTATTCTTAGCCCTTTTGTTAGAAAAGCTCTTCAAATGAGTGCACAGGAGCCCTGGAAGATAACCAGTGAGTTCCTAGTTGTGCCAGTGCCAGCTGACACCCCTATTTTGGGATCTGTGCCCCTTCTCCACCTTGGGAAAGGAAACATAGCTATGTGCAGGAGAGTATCTGTGTGCCATGGAGGGGTATGTCACTGCTGGCAGCCCTGTGCCACGGTGGGACCTGGCCAGGGCATGTATATGGGTGCTGGCAGTTGGGGCCTGATGGTGAAGGACGGGCAGAGTTGTCTTCTGCTGTACTTGGCTCCATCTCAACTTTCAGAACAAAGGCTGGAGCATTTCCACAGCCAAGTGCCAGTGCCTGGAAAGCTGTCAGCTGCCTGCAGGGCTCTGCAAGGCTGCCGTGATGTGGGTTTGGGTTCTCGGTGGCCACTGTGGCTGCTGCTGGAGGTGAACTGTGCCTTCCACCTCCCAATAAAGGCAGAGAATGTCTTAACCCTTTTCCTATTCTTCCCCTCTTCCAGCTGGCTGTTCTGGAGGACTATGCAGATCCCTTTGATGCAGCACAGGTGGCAGGTAGCCAGGCAGGGCTGGAGAAGGTGATGGAGAATGACGGATATATGGAGCCATATGAAGCCCAGAAGATGATGGCTGGTAAGGTGGAAGGCGTCACGCAAAGGCCACTCTTTACACCTCTGGTCCCTGAGTTTGGTGGCCACTGTACTCTGTTCCTTGCAGCCTGTGACAGCATCAGCTCCCCCACATAAGGCAAACCTGGGTGATGGTTGTGGTGGGGGACAGCCATTTTGCAGGCAAATTTTCCCAGCTTTATCCTTGTGCACTGGGCTTGCAAGAACATGCAAAGACTAGCTGAGCACTACAGGCACATCTCCCCTTGCGATGCTGTCCTCCAGGACCCCAATTGCCAGGTTGAGCTAGGAGAGACCTGACATTCCATGCATTTGGCTTAAAACTAAGGTAAATGTGGGAGCTCTTTAATTCAGTTAGGACTCGGCCAGAATATTCTGTGTCTGCTGCAGCAGTGGGGCCCCCAGTGGGACTGTCTAGGGCTGGAAAGCTGGTGAACTGGGAGCATGTGCTCCTCAAGGCAGTGCTAAGACTGGCTCTGTCTCTGCTTTGCAGCTCTGTGGTTTTCCTGGAGCAAGTGGTTTCTGGAAAGCTCATGTGGCTTTTTGAAGTAGATCATTGTATTTCTTGGAAAAACCAGCAAGCAGTGGAGGGGCTGCTTGTGCCTGTGGGAGAGACTTTGTTTTCCTTGAGGGAAGGGCATGTAACCAACCATTCTGGGTGTCTAGGGGAGAAACTCAGCCTCACTGTTTGCAGGAAATCAGGCTTAGGGTACTGGCATTTTGCCAGGCTGCCCAGAAGTGGAGGTGTGGTATTGTGGGGATCTTGGTGCTGCTGAGCAGCTCTCATGCTTCTGGCAGCTGCTTGCTGTCTCTTCCTCTGCTGATGCTCCCTACCCCATTTTACCCATGGGTGACATTGAGCCCTGTCATCTAGCACAGTTTTGGGGACCATGGCTGTGTTGGACAGAAGGCTCATGGTCTTTTCCCTCTTCTCCGGATAGAAATCCGCCAGAAGGGCTTACGGGAGGCTCCCGCCCGGCCACTGCACCTCTACGACACTCCTTATGAGCCTGTACTGGACATGGACAGTGACTGCCCAACTTGCCCCAGGCCCAGGGAGTCCCGGCTGCCTGAGGATGATGAGCGGCCACCGGAGGAATATGACCAGCCCTGGGAATGGAAGAAGGAGCGGATCTCCAAAGCCTTTGCAGGTGAGTGATGGGAGCTGCCATAAAGCAAACAACATGTTTTGTGAAGCTGGATCTTTGGGGTTCCTTCATCTTCTGAGGGTCAATAATGTTGGTCTCTGCATTTCCATAGCTCAGGGAGTGCAGCTCTTGCAGAAGCTGTTTCTCTGGGCAGGGAGCCAGGCTGGACAGAATGATGGATTGAGCTGCCTTAGTAACCTGTCCAACACCTGTCTCCCATTGCCTCTTCTGTGCTCTGACCGATCACAGCCTCTGGTGCAAACTAACATCCTCAATATTGTGTTGCAGGAGTAGGTTTAAGCCCGGGCTCAAGCAGATCCCTCCTTCCTCAGGGCAGGAGGATACTCAAAGAGCCTTCATCCAGCCCCCCTAACCTATTTATCCGTGCTGTGGGATCGATTCTGTTTGTGTTTGGTAATGAGGAAATCCATGCTGTGCATTAGTGCTGGCTCCTTGCCGGTGCTGGCTAATTGCTACGCTCTTATCTAGGATGCATTTTAATTGCAGCATTGTGTGTCTGTGCTGCAGCTGAGGGTGCTCAGACTGGTGGCACTGTGTGGAGATGATGGCAGAGAGAGATGTGGAAATTTGGGGTTGAGGAGTGGTTCACCTTTTGGGTTTGGGCACTGTGAGCTGGAGATATGTGTGCTAGGCTCAATGTCACAGTGCCTACTTGTGCTTGCGGCCACCCTGTGCCAAGGATTCAGCGTGTCAGGCTCAATCATGGAACACCATGCTCTGTTGGGCTGAGTTTGTGCTGAGGTGTCTGTGCTCTGGATGAGTCACCTTGCTTGATATCCCTGGGTGGAGGTGGTGTGTTCACAGGTCTTGCTCATATGTAGATGCATGTGGATGCTGCCCAGGGCCCTTCAGGCCTGCTCCAAGTCCCAAGGGAGTCAGGTTGCTGTTCTCTGGGCCATGCTGGGGCCTGCTGCCTGTTTTTTTTCTGAAGCCAGAGCAGATCCTGCTGTGTCTCGTGGGGTGTTTTTTCTCTCTCCAGTGATGCCAAAATATCTCTGTTGGCCCATCGGGGGGTCCATGGGACTCCTGCTGATGGGCAGTTACTACTGGCACAAGGCTGCAACCCACTGGCAGGGGAATGTGGACCCTGTGGGTTGCTGGGAGGTTCCTAGGGCAAAATAGATGCACGGGCAGGACAGATGGCCAAGACCCCCAGACAGGCGAGTATTTGGAACAGGGTGGTTGCAGGCTCCCCCAAACCCCAGAGAGGGTTGGCTGGAAAAACTGATGGAGGAGCAGGGTCTCTCCATTGGGAATGTGCCCCACTTCAGGTCTGTCTCTGCGTGGTACTGTGGAGGAGATGAGATGGCCAAGCTGGTGTAGGGCTCCCAGGAATTTAGTCCTGAGGTCTTTCCCCCCACAACTGCTGTCCTTCTTTGTGGGCCTCTGGTGTTGCTGATGGTTTTTTCTAAACCCTTTCTTTCTCTCTCTTTCCCACACCCTTCCCACCCCTATCCAGTTGAAATCAAGGTCATTAAAGACCTGCCATGGCCCCCGCCGGTGGGACAGCTGGACAGCAGTGAAAGCCCCCTGGATGGGGAGGCTGGTGCCCCCGTCCCTCTGCAGCACAGCCAGCACAGCTACGAAGACGCCAATGGTGGGTCTTGCATGACAGCGGCATGTCTGGGGGGGCTGCAGCCCATGCTTGCTGTGACTCTGGACCGCTGTGATGCCTTGGGGCTTGCCCTGGGCAGTGCTAGACACAACCCTCCTCCTCTGCCCTCTCCCAGATCCTCCTGGCCCCTTCAGTTCTTATGTGCTGGACATCAGGTGTTGGTCCTGCTGCACCTTCCTGCTGCAAAGAGGCACTGGCTCTTTGGTGCCTCTTTGCTGAAGCAGCAGAGCTGCTCTGAGGGATTATTCCATGGCATGGCAGAGTCATTACTTTCCCTTTTGTTCTTTCCTCTTTGCCTCCAAATTCCCAACATTTGATGGCTGCTTTTAAGGTATTCTCAGCAACTGAGTATTTAGCTGATGTTTTCTTACTGCCCAGTCCCTTACGGATGTGGTAACAGCTAATTCAGATCTCAGTGCTGAAGTTGGGGCTGTTTTTTAACCCCTCTTCATCATTTAGCACTGCTCTGTTTCCTCTGATGTTTTATTACCTTGCTGCTTAGTGTCAGGTGGTCCCAGTGGATTCTCCCCTCTTGCGTTTGCTATTCTGAGCAGCCAAATCTCCCAGGAACACTTTGTCATCTCAGGTTTGCCTTGTGAAGCCTTTTTGGTGTGTGCTGAGCAGAGCTCCTGGGTAAATCTCCTTTGGATGCTGCTGGCAGTCTCACTTATGAAAGCCAAATATTGCTGCTTCTCTTTTAACCCTTTATTAATATTTTAAGGACCTTGCTCTTGTGCTGTGGTGAAATTGGGATTTTGCCAAGAGCATTAGGTGGAAAGCATTGTGGAAAGCCATGACTGGACTGTTACCAGTGGGGAACTGGGATGCAAGCTGTGCCTTTTCCTGTGTAGCAGTGTGCCATGGCTGCTATGCATCTCTAATGCTGTCCAGGTGGGCACTGCAGTGTGCCAGGTGCAGATGTCTCATTTCCTTATCTGCAGCTACCCAGATCCCTGCAGAGCTTCATAAGATAAAGCCAGTGTGGCCTTTGCTGCCTCCTGGGTGGGCTTGAGTGCAGGCTGCAGGTGATGCCTTATTTTGGTGCTGATGGTGGGGGCACTCGAGAGCAAAGTGGCCGCTCTGTCAGGGCTTTGTTGGGTATTTCCCAAATCCGTAGGGATGCTGCAGGCTGAGATCAGTCCTCAAGAAGAAAGGTCTTGGCAGGTGAGAACTTTCGATTCTCTTCCTGCAATGAATGCAGGTGTCAAGAAAAATTAATCTCTTTGTTATGCAGCCTTTTCTTTCCCCCCATCATTTATTATCTCCACACTCACTCTGACATGCATCCTGGTCCTGATGAACACATAAGTTTGTAATTTTTCCTGGTTTTAGCAACACAGAGTATTTTTTTTTTTTCTCCTCTGACTTGTTTTGTTGTGTTAAGTTTATCTTGCCAGTTTTGTCTCATTTTTTATTTCTCATGTCTGGGGGTGACTTGAATATCTTGAAGGATGTCTTCTTCCTCCTGAGGGCTTGTTTTTAATATCCTGTTTAATCATGCACATGCCTCTGTCTCCCTCTGACAAGTGCAATGCATTTCTTTTGAGCCTGTAACACGACTTTGTGCTGCCAGCAAACACTTGGGCTGTTTGATTGTCTGGCTTTTTAATGATTGCCCTAATTTTTTAAGGCAATGAGTTGAAATTGAATCCTGTATGTGATGTACAAGAGCAAGCATGGTTGGTGGAAAGCCACAGTGCCACAGAAGCAGGGCTTATCAAGCCATAATGCCAGGCACCTCCTCCTTGAGTTGTGCTCAGGGTGGTTTACACCATGCTAAGTTGCAGAGAATTTTGGCTGGGTTTGCTTTTGGTTACCTTCCCTTCCTTGCAGTGCTGGGGGGTTGGAGTCCTGTTCACCTGCATAGGGCCTGGACAAGGTGTCACTCAAACAGCTGCCTTAGAGCATGCCCTGCTAGAGAGAAAAACATCCCTCTGGCTATTTTTTGCCTCCTCCTCCAATAGCCAGGAAGCATGGAGAGTTGTCCTGTCTGGGGCATTCTAGTAGTCCCAGGGCACTTATGGGCTCAGCCACCTCAAGGGTGACTGTGCTGCCATGGTGTCAGCCCCTGGCAGCTCCACACTGTGGGAGCTCTGCCCGATCAATAAGTAATTTGTGCAAGGAGGTTGGCGGTACAGGGAGCAATAATGGACTCTTGGGAGGCAGGAGAAACAACATTGTTAATGCTGAAATCATCCTGTGCAGAAATAACAGGCAGTGGGAGGCCAGGTCCCTGGGGTACATCTTGGTCAATCCTCTGCGCTCATGGCTGTGGCTGGGCTGGTGACAAGCAGGTGGCAGCATCAGGGAGGTACCTGCAGTCAAAATATCCCCTTCCCACCTCAGGGAATTGTTTTTTCATCTTATGCTTGTGCCAGCAGAAATGTGTCCATTGGTTCCAAACTGACTGCTTCCTTTAGCTCCATCTATCCCCTCTTCTTTTTTTTAAATTTAAGTTTTTCCTCTGAGACTGGGGAACCTCTTTTTTTTGCTGTGTCTCACTTAACTCTGTACCATGGCCACTGAATTTATTTTTGCATTAGCAAAACCGCCTGAGCTTTTGAAACCTCCCTGGAAATGTCTTCCATGGCCTCAGTTACTGGTTTCAGGCCTGGCGAGGTGGGGACTCAGCCTGGGCAGTGATCAGCAGCCCAAGGGCTGCCCTGCCCTTGCTTAGACCATGGGAATGGGGCAGTGTGAGGTGACCCAGTGTGATGTAAGTGGCTCTGACTCTTCCTGCCAGAGAAAGTTAGGATCCCAGCATGTGATGCATGTCTGTCTTGCAGGTCCATCAGAGGGGCTGGGGTATGGCCGCACCTCGCCCTGCAGGGAGGAGAAGGCCAGGGCTGTCCTCAGGCATGGCTCCAGCAGTCTCAAGAGCACAAAGACACTGACCACTGAGCCTGGCCCCTTTGTTGGGGAGAGGATTGACCCTGCCCTGCCCCTGGAGAGTCAGTGGTGAGTCCTGCCTGTCTGGAGTGGTTGCCCGAGCCTTCCACCTGCACAAGGGAGCCCTGTGGCCCCACCATGAGGCACCCTGAGGCACACTTACTTCTTCCTTTCTTCCTTGGCTCCACATTTCAGCCTGTTTGCCCCTGCCCCTTGTCTCCCAACCCCAGTGGTGCCACCCCCTTCCTTCTCCCTGAATGTGGCTGCAGTCCCTGGGGAGGTTCTTGCCAGAGGTGCTGGCATGGCTGCTGCCTCAGGGCAGAGCCTCTTCCATGGTGTCTGCTCTGTGCCCAGCACAGCTGATCCCTCTTCTCCTCTAGCTGGTACCACGGGGCCATCAGTCGGACAGATGCAGAGACGCTACTGAGGCTGTGCAAGGAGGCCAGTTACCTGGTGCGCAACAGCGAGACCAGCAAGAATGACTTCTCCCTCTCCTTGAAGTGAGTGAGCCTGGCCGGGCTGGGGGGTTGTGGACCCACAGCAGAGGTGACCAGGTGCCTTAGGTGGGTGCCCAAAGTGAATTGTGCCCATGCTAATTGGCTAACTATGAGATGACAATGATTGGGCAGAAACGCTGCAGTATGAAGTCCACGCTTTTCTGTGGTGTGGCATAGTTTTCTGGTTTGATGTCTAGCAAAAACATCTCTCAGGAAGATCTGGAGGTCAACTGCTTTTCCTTGGCAGTGCTAATAATCCCTCAGATGGATCAAATGATGTGCCTCTCTTCTCAGTAAAATGTGTCTGGCTACAGCTTCCAGCTCTGTTTTCTTGTTCCCTCTTTTTTTTTTGTAGCTTAGGTTCATGGGAAAAGAAAGTTTGTATGAGCCCATTGTTGATGGAAATGTGGGTATCCATCCTTTCCTCCCCAGCCCCACAGATCCATTGCTCAGCTGTAGAGAGGGCTTTACCCTGATCTGCTTTGCCAGTAGGGAAACCTCATCCCCATAGCACAGCTTGGTTTCTGCTTGGGGTTTCTGGGGAATCTTTATATACTCCCAAGTTTTCCAGAGTCTCTGAATGCCAAAATTGCATGAAGCATCTCTGCATGTGTCCTGACAGGGGGAACTGCCCACAGCTCGTCATCCAGCTCCTTCCTGGCTCTTGGGGCAGCACGGATCCACTGTTACTGTCTGAAGATAATGATGGATGAGCAAATACCTTCTTGCTCTTCTGCTGGACAGCTATATTAGCTCTGTTCCTGCCAGATGGGAAACAAGTATTCATTGAGCACTTCAGCTATCTGTGCCCAACAACAGGGCCCATAACCCTATGCCTTTCTCAGTGTATTTTGAGTTTCCCCAGTGGTCTCTCTACCTGCATTGCTCCCTAGGGGGTTCAGCCTCTGTTTATTTCCTAGTGGCATAATTGTGAATTAGATTGCTCTGTCTCTCTCCACATTTTTTTCACTCTTTTTGTTGCCTTCAGCACCAAACAAGGGCAGGAGCTCCACTGAAAATATACTTTCTTCCTTATGCATTTAGAGCTTTCAGATCAGCCAACAAACCCTTCTAGAAGAGCTCCCTCCTTTTCTCTTTGTCATAATTTTTACTGATATTTTAATTTTCTGTGTTTTTTCCTTGCCTTGGCTCGTGAGCCATTCTGGAACAATAGCTTCTTCTGGTTGGTGAGCTGCATTTGAAGCTGTGAGAGGTCTCGCCGTTGCCTTGTGAGTGGCATTAGCCAGCATGTGTGTTGGAGAGCCTGGGAGGTGGCATTCCATCACCTCTCCACAAGCTGTTTCTTAGTGGTTTTCCCTTACTTCCAGCCATCATCCTTAGTTTTATGGCAAAATCCTCCTCTCAGATGGCATGTGTGTCTAGGCCATGGTGTGCAGTGGTATCCTACCTTCCCCAGCCCATCAAGAAGTTACATGGGCATTGCCTGTCCTTGTGGAGTTTGCAAAGAACCTACAGCCCTGGGAGCAGGATTTTTACTCCACTGCTTTTCCCTGTAGAGCCTGTTCAAGTAAAATCCCATGGGATGCTTTTTATATAGCTGTAAGATGGCTGTCTGCAGCTCTATTTTTTTTTTAACTCTTTTTTTTTTTTTTCTCTCCTTGAGAAAGGAGGCATAGCCAAGGAGATGGTCTGAAAAGTGTTCCAATGCTGACCTAAAGTTCTTTGGTGTTGCTTTAAAGGAAAATAAGCACAAGAGAGAGCAGCCAGGAGCAGATCAGGTAGCTGGAGGGATTTAACCTAACAGTCCTGGCTAGTTCAGGCTGCCTCTCATGGACAGGGTCAATCCATTGCCTCAGGTGCTTCGAGAGTGAGTCCCTCCTGGCTTGTGCCTCCACAAGAGTGGTTGAGGCCACACTGCAAAGCTTTGTGTCCTTCCTTGTGCCTGCAAAAGTGCTCAGCAGGAACAGTATCCACCCCTTCTCCTGGCTGCTGGTGTTTGCAGCCTGTTTGCTCAGTCATCTCTCTAGGGCTGTGATCTCATCACATCCCTGAGCTTGTGACAAATATCTGTGGAGCAATTTGGGCAAAACACCACCAGTATCATCTCTCGATAGTTCTATGTGGCAGTGCTCTGGTTCCCTGCCACTGGGACACAAAACACGGCCAAGCTATTGCTTTTCCTCAGCCCATGTTGGGGGGCTGTGGCTGTCTCCCAGGACACCTGGCTCCTTGCTTCTGTCTCTAAATGGATTGCAAACCCATTCTGCTAATGCAACTGGGCTGTCCATTATGGCCTGTCTCCAGCTGAGGGGATGGGACTGGGCTGTGCAGCACTAGAAGCAGCTCAGCGTCACTGATGAGGTCCTGTCTGCTTTTAAGTCATCAATATTTTGCTATAATGTGCAATCCAGACGCTCCAGACAGGCTGCAGCTCTCCTCAGAGATGCAAATTAATAGCAACGGGGCCATTAGTCCGTCACTTGGAATCAGTGTTTGTGGCAGGATCTGACTGCACAGCTTGGCGTGGCTTGGTGCCCGTGCTGTGCAAGGAAATGGTCTTGCTATGCTGAGTGGGTTTTATGGAGCCTGCACTGGTGGCAAGGAGAGAGGGGAAGGAGAAAATCCTTTGGCTGTGGGCCAAAGGAAAAAAAAACTGGTTTGCTGTGGTGAGGCTGGAGATCTGGGAGCTGAAGTCCTAGGAGCTGAGAGGATCCTGTGAGAGCCAGAGCAGTTGCAAAAGGGGCTTTGTCATGTGCAAGGAGCAAAAAAAACTACCCTTGAGTGACCCCACAGCAAGTGTCCCTACTGTTCTTGCCCAGGTGATGCCTTCCTTACACACACTCACCCTGGATGGGCCCTACACACCCCACTGCATGGGAGCGCTCCCCAAGGGGACACAGTGCAGCATTGTTCGACATGTCCCTCCTTTGCTCTGTGGGTTTTGTCGGAGTCAGCCAGGAGCAGGATGGTGCAGGCAGAGCCGTGGCTGCAGACAGGAGCCAGCAGTGTCCCCCTCAGCGGCAGGGGTAGGCTGCCTGGGTCAGGGGGTCAGAAGATGAGGGGAGGCTGGGGCCAACTGTACTCCCTAACCCTGCCTTAATCTGTCTTTGCAGGAGCAGCCAGGGCTTCATGCACATGAAACTGTCCCGGACACAGGAGAACAAGTACGTGCTGGGACAGCACAGCCCGCCCTTTGACAGCGTGCCAGAGATCATCCATCACTACGCCAGCCGCAAGCTGCCCATCAAGGGGGCTGAGCACATGTCCTTGCTTTACCCGGTGGCTATCCGAACCCTATAGTAATCACCCCCACGAGCCAGGCTCAAGGCTGGGTGCACCCAAAACTGGCCACAGGGCTGAGCGTTGCCATGCCAAGGATGGGCTCCAGACCATCAGCCCACGAGCAGTTTGCTGGGCACAGCTGCTGCTGTTGGGGGTTGCTGCAGCCGGGCCCCTTGTCCTGCTCTCTCAGGGGCTCCCATGCACTGGTTTGCGTGCTGGCATGCTGGAAGGATCCCCTGTGCGAGGAGCTGAGTGGGGCTTGCCGGCTGTCCACATCTCCACACCTGCCTCCTTGGCAGAGCTTGGGATGCCAGGACTGGAGCTGGGACCTTGGAGAGTCCAGGGAGGGGGGCACTGTATGCAAGTACGGGGATAAAATCATCTGGTAGCAGGCTTGAGGTACCTCCATGAGGGTGCCTAGCTCTACCCATGAGAGACTAAATGGCTGTGCCTGCAGGTAAGGAGGCTGGCAGGGGTGAGCAGGACCTGCCTGGGGCCAGCAAGGCATGCAGAGTGTGAGGCAAGGCTGCCCATACTTGCACTGGTGCTCAGTACTCACTGCCATCCTTTGCCAAACGTAAATAGTGACCAGCCTTGGCTGTCTGTGCAGCACCACTGCCTAATAAAGCGGTGCACTGTTGTCTCCTGCTTCATGGGACTGTGTGCCCACATTCCACTACGAGTGGGGGATCAGTGTAGCAAAGCAGTGGAAAGGAAAATTTTGTTACACAAAAGCTTTAAAGGAATTGATTTTCCCTTTGCCCTTGCATACACTGAGATTGGTGTGCCCATCCAGCCAGTGCACTCCTCTGAGTCACAGGGGACAAAGGATGGTAGTGGTCATGTCCTGGCCATGTCTTTGAGACCCTTTGTGGGCAGTGATGAGCTGATTTTTGGACTTGCCTGTTACTCCCTGTAGAAGAGGGTGCTCTTTTGGGATCCTTGTTTTCCTTCACCTCTCATAAATCTTAGGTAAAGTCCCTGAATTTCACAGAGCTCCTGATCTCCTCTGAGAATTTACTGGCTCCAGTCCTATTGTTTGTCTTCTTGACATCTTGTCTTTGGGTCAGCTTGCTCTTTTTTTTGGCTGAACCTCTCTCTGGTGCTGTGTACTTTTTCATACATACTGTGTGTTTTAATCTTGTTCCTGGTGTTGCTCCTATACCCATGCACATTTCCTCTATCCATGCTTCAGCCTAAGCTCCATCCTGCTGTTACTCCCCAGCAGCACATTACCTTTGCCCTCTGCTCTCTGGGTGGGGATGACAGCAGCAAATTCACTGCTGGACCAGCAAAACCTTTTCTGTTAGTGGAACAAAGCCCTCGGGCATCGGTGAGATGAGTTAGCAGTAGCTTGATGAAGGATTTGTGAAAAAGCATCATCCTTCCGCCTGCTCCCCAGAAGAAGCTGTCCCTGCTGGTTGCTGAGGGGGCACTTTGTGTGGGTGAGTGCTGCATCCACTGCAGGAACCCTGCTCTGCTATCGGGGCTTTGGGGCTTTTCATACTCGATCTTAGCTGAGAGCTGGCTGTCCTGGCTGCCCTGCACAGTCTTGAGCTGCTGTGGGGCCCACGGGGCATGGCCAGTGTGGTCTGTGAATGCACCCCGCGACTGGGAGCCTGCAGAAGTGTGGTGGGTTGTTCAAGGATGCCTCAGCCTCTGCCACTCCTTAAAAGGCAGGGGATTGAGCTGGACGGTGTCTCCTTACTGCCCACTTGGCTGCTGGCAGCTCTGGCTGCCTCTCTCCATCCCAGGGAGGCACTTAGTCCTGTGGGGATCGAGGTGACTCAAGTGAGAGGGCTTTTCTCCCAGAGCACGCAGGAAGGGCTGGAGATGCAGAAATCTGCAGTGATGCTGCTGGGTGCCCTTTCTGCACTTTGAAGGTTTCAAGTGCCACTTAGCAGCCCTGCTGTGTCCTGATGGCTCCAATGAAGAGCTCATCGTGGGGGGATCCTCTGCCTTCTTGGAAGCTGTAGGTGGGAAAGAAGAGGTTTCTTGTGTCCATGCAGCTCCCCACATAGTGTGGGGCTGTTTTCTTGAGCTGTGGCAGGGAGCAAACTACCTGGGAGCCAGTGCTGGCTGTGCAGCCTTATGGTGAAATCCTGCTCAAGCAGCCTGGCTCCATCTCAGGAGTATCCCTGCTGAGCACAGGGATGAGAGGGATGAGACCTGTGTGCATTGCACCAGCTCCCTAGAACCAGTCATGGACCAGCAGGACTGCCCTGCAGCTGGGCTGTGGGTCCAAGTGCTTCAGCAAAGTAGCTCTTGATCACTGCTGTGGGAATTACATCCCTCCTGAGCCCTTTTTTCTCTAGGCTAAAGAAGTGAAACTCCCTTGTTCTGCCCCTGATCATCCTCAGCAGGACTCTCTGACTCTCTTCCTCTCCATGTACGTGGAAACAGTATCCAGGTGCCGTCTCACCAATGCTAGATCAAGGGAAATAACCCGTTCCTTTGTCCTGACCACCAAAAATACATGACTCCAGTTCTAGCAGTTTAGTGGTGGGAGGTGAACAGCAGCTCCCCAGAAAATTTGGACTGAATTTCTCTTGAAAGGGTATTTTAGTGCTGCCTTTGCCATCCTGTGACTGAAGTGAGCATTGTTTGGGAATGGGGTTGGTGAGGACAGGCATCCAATAGGGCTAGAGAAGTGACAGGGATCTCCATTCATAAGGATGCTAATCCCCGGGAGGGACAAGAGCGTGAACAATCTTCTATGGCTTTAAGGTTAACCCTGTTTGGAGCATAACGTTAGACCAAAGACCTTTGTTTGTAATAATTCCTAATCCACTTGTCCCAGCAATCCCCCGTGTCCTCCCAACTGCTTGTGTTCTGTATCCGTCCTCCTGGTATGTGCAACAGCTCTGACATTCATTGCCTGATCACTAGTCCTTCACTAAGCCCTCCATAATCGCTGGGCTGGTTTAGCATACTGCAGGTCCTGATAATGGAGGAAGGAAGTTTGTTTTGTAATTGGATTAGCACTGCTAGGAACAGCTCGTGCACAATGTCGGGGCTTAGCTGGTGGAGCCCTGGCCTTGTGCCACTCTGCCTGGTTGTGAGTCAGCTTGGGGCTGTGTTACCCCTGCACAGGACATCACTGACCAAAGTGATGCTCACAGGGCTGTTGCCCACGAAGACAGGCTGAAGGAGTTCAGGCTGTTAAGCCTGGAGAGGACAAGACTCTAGGGAGACCTTAAAGCCCCTTCCAGTGCCCTCAGGGTCTCCAAGAGAGCTGGAGAGGGACTTTGGTCAGGGGCCTGGAGTGACAGTACAAGGGGGGATGGTTTTAAACTGAAAGAAGACAGCTTTAGATGAGATAAAAGTTAATTCTTGGCTAAGAGGGTAGTGATGCCCTGGCACAGGTTGCCCAGAGAAGCTGCCCCATCCCTGGAAGTGTTCCAGGCCAGGATGGATGGGGCTTGGAGCAACATAGGATAGTGGAAAGTGTCCCTGCCCATGGCAGGGGATTTGAACCAGATGAGCTTTAAGGTCCTTTCCAACCCAAATGATATAAGGTTCTTTAAGGTCATTTCCAACTCTATGATTCTATGAAAACATGTAGTTTTGGAAGATGGAGGAAACCAAGAGGGATAGATTGATAGAGGGTAGAATTGGAGCTTCCCCACCTGGGAATCTGGGGTGTGTTCACTGAATTCTGTCCCTCATGTCTCCCACCTGCTAGAAATGAAGCCCTTTGGTTAGTGACAAGCCTCACGTTACCCATCCTAGCACAAGTCATCAAGGCTCCTAAATACCTCAGAGGTTGGAAAGAACCAGCAACTGATCCTTGTGGGACTGGGCTAAACCCTCACACTGTTATCCATGCACCCTTCCTGCCCCTCTGGCCTGGAGAAGTTCCTTGAAGTCCAAGCCTAGTGATTAGTTTGAAACCCCAGCCCTAGCAGGGATGCTTAAGCTCACAGCTGAGAATGCTGTGCCCTCTGTTTTGCCTCCAACCACAGCAATCTACAGGAGGATCAGATAACTCGGCAGCTCAGCTGCCAGAGTTTAGAGCAAAGGAGAGAAATTTGCTCCCGATCCCTTCAGGCTGCCAGTGGAATGTGCAGGGTAGCACATCCATAGCACACATGTGCACTGGCACAGACATGGCCCAGCTGAATGCTTCCTCTCTAGTCTTTTCCTAGAGACCAAATGTTTGGCCCAAAGGACAAGTTTCAACTTCTGACTTGGAGACCACCCTCACTCAGTCCCTTCAGTATGGTTCTCAGCATCATTCCCAACCATTTACTTGCTCCTGGTGTCCTGTTTGGAAATTGTCCCAAGACATCTCTGCTTGGATGCCTCCACCTAATTTTGAGTCTAGCCCTATGAGCAGTTCTTTTCCATGGACAATTTGGAGGCCTGTCTCCAAACCACCATGTTCATGCACATAGAAGGGGAAATTGTTTTAAGCTAAAAGGAATACTGATTTAGATTAGACACAAGAAGTATTTTACAGTGTGGGTGGTAAAACCCTAATACAGGTTGCTCAAAGAGGTGGTGGAGGTCCCATGTGTGGAAACATTCAAGGCCAGATTGGACAGGGCTTGGAGCAACCTGATCTAATTGAAGATGTCCCTGCTCACAATAGAAGGTTGGACTAGATGACCTTCTGACCCAAACCTAGGATTCTGTGATCCTGCAGGTGAGACCATCCCAATACCTGCTAGTGGCGTGGCTGTGTCACTCCCCAAAACATCCCAGGCATGATGATTCCACACTATCAGCTCCGCAGTTCTTGCTATTAACATTAGTGGGGGCATCCCAAGACTGAGGTGGGGAGCAGTGCTGGAAGGTGCTCAGAGACATTCCTTTAACATAGCCCAGCATTTTACTTGGCTAGCTGGTTCTTCCTCTTGTTAAATCCATACCCATGACTTCCAGCACTAGAAACTGGTTCATACTGGGTGGAAATCAAACTTCTTCCTTAAATATAATCAGGCTAAATCATAAAAGCATAGAATGGTTTGGGTTTGAAGACACCTTAAAGCTCATCTTGTTCCAGCCCTCTGTCATGGGCAGAGACACCTACTACAATGCTCTGCATCACCTCGTCAAAGTTAATTATCAAAGAGAAATCATTACCTTATCCTGAGACAATGTATCTGTGATAAATTCTATTTACATTCGCTTTTCTGTCTGGGAGCTGGGTTTCTTTCAAAAAAGCCTCAGAAAATATCAAAGTCCAGATTTGTTTGAATCCCTCTTTTCCATTTTCTGGATGTGGAAGGCACATTGGCTGCATTTGTTGGAGGTTTGAGCCATATCCAGGTTTTCTTAAACCTGGCCCTTCTTTCATAGGAAGGTGACCTTGCTCCTTCCCTCCCTGATGTCATGCAGCCCCTCCTGGCTGAGCCTGATCTCATGCATTCACAGTGTGCCCTCAGCCAGTGGGCATTCTCTGTCCTTCCTATCTCACTCAGCTTGATAACCTGTACAGCTCCCAATCTTTCTCTTAATTTCCACATGAACGTGTGTGTGCTATATTTTTCTCCATTAAATGGCAAGTGTTGACTGCCTGTGTGGGACTGGCAGGCTTGCTGCATGTCCCCTCTTCCCATCCTGTGCCTTGCTGCACATCCACAGTGCACTGTGATTTACTGCCCAAGTGCAGTGTCGCAGCTTCTGCCCGCAGGTACCTCTGCACATTCACAGCATGTCCTGGCTGACAGGGAAAGCTCATGCTTCGCTTTGCCTCCATGTAGGCTGATGTCTGAGCAACCCACGGCTCTTTCTGGTAACTCGCTGTAAGGATTGCAGGCTCTTTGCTGCACCTAACTCTCTTTTCCTTCTGCACGTGCAGGATGTCTGAGCCTCCCCTGCCCCCATCTGCTCAGCCCCTCTCACAAATATGTCCTGCAAAGGCTGAGATGCAGCCTGGCATCACCATCCCGGGCTGTCCTGGCTCGTCGTTCTCTGGAAACTATGGACTGAGTGGTGACTAGGTTTTAAAGTCCTGCCAGAGGTAATGGAGAGTGCCTCAAGACCTGGGGGTCCTGCTCAGTGTCTTTTAAGCCAGAGTCCCAGACTGCTGCTCCAGTAACTGAGGCCTTCTCAGGGGAAGTTTATGGGTTCCCAAGGACTTAGTCTACTGACCTGTTGGATCGGGAGAGCAAGAGGGTGAAACTGAGATAACAGAGCCCCCAGAAATGCTTCAGAGAAAGCCTTGAAGTCCAGAGGAGAGGGTTGTCACTCCAAGTTGCAGACTAGGCCCATCCAGGCTTACATCAAGAAATGTGGGGAAGATGTGACACAGCCGTGACCTATAAAGGCACTATGGGAGGGACAGGGTCTCCTGTCCTTTGCCCTGGGAAAGTCTCCAGCCCTGTTTGTGATGCTGGTGACCACAGCATGCAGGGAGAGCTGACAGCTGGAACAGATTGGGCTGGGACAGAGGGAGGTTCAAGCTGAGACTTGTCCAGTTTGTTGTACAGAAGGTGGTTCCTGGCTTTCCTCTTTTTTATTTTTTTTTAATTTCTTTTTTTTTTCCTAGAGAAGGGCTGAGCTAAAAAGCATCTTGCTCCCTTCTGCTGTGAGTTGCATCTGAACGCTCACATGCCACTGGCTGGGGGAGGTAGTCCATATGGGACCAAGTCTGGAGACTGCATCACCCACACAACGAGGGCTCTTGCATTTGTACTCGACTTCCAGCCTGTCCCAAAGGAAGCGGCTCATCATATGCCAGAACAGGCAAGAGAGCAAGCACAGTCTTTGAGTCTCCCTGCATCACAGACCTGTACTCTCTGCTCAGCTGAGAGCTCTGAAAGTCCAGCTTTTAGGACAACCTTAGGCTCTGTGGCTTTGGCAGCCCTGCAGACAGCACAGTAATTCGTGCTGGCAGCAGCTGCTCCCACTCCAAACACAGCCATAATTGTTCTTGCTGAGCTGGTCCTTCTTGGGGCCATAAAGAGCAAGATGTTTCTTTTATCATCATCAATGTCATTCCTGCCTTGGCATTTGCAGTAAATATCTGTCACCAGGGCCGTTGGAGCACAAGGTCGGGTCACCTTTTGACAGACTCACAGGTTGCTTGGGATGTGGAGTGGGAGCATCTGTCTCCTGTGGTTTGGTGTACGGATGGGATGGGGTCTCTCATGGCTTTGCCAGGGGGACAGGACACAGTATCCCACAGGACACTGCTCTGCTCTCCATTAACAGCGCAGCTCCGGGGCCTGTGTGTGCTGAGCCAGGGGCAGTGGCGACGGACCATCCCTCCCTGATGGCAACAGCTCACTTCCATTTAAGATAGAGGAATTTCAATCTCAGTTTGCTAGCTCTTCACCACGGTGCATCTCAAGACCCAAATTTCCAGTTTTCTTCCCCATACAACGCCAGACGCTCTCTGGGCTCAGGAACTACAGCGCGTTCCGGGGAGCTGCCGCCCGGCCCAGGGGAGAGCTGGGGGTGAGAACACGGATTCTGTGTAGCTCCGTGGGTCCCCACAGCATCTCCGCACCCGAACCTGCTGCACTACCCTTTGTGCGCTCAGCGGTCCCCGCTGGGTCCTGCCCTGCTCTGGAGCAGAAGCGCCCGCGGGGAGGCCGCGCCACGAGTGCGGGGGGCAACGAGGTGGATAGGGGACACCGCACACTGCCACTACGCGGGCGCTGCGGCCGGCACCAAGCAGGGGGGCGCGGCTGGAGCGCGGCTGCCGCCTGCCGGCCGCGCCGGGAGCAGCAGGGCCGAACTGTGCGGGGGCGTGGTCTGGTGTGGGGAGGCCTGGCCCGGCTGGGGGCGTGGCCGCGCAGCCATGTCGGA